CAAGGAAGTGCCTTCCTCCATGAAACTTCCTAAAGTACTGCTCTGTGATCTTCACGGACTTTTTATTAGTCAGAACCGAATCACATGGCCGCTACTACTTTTAAGGGCATCTGGAAAGTAACTTTACCTGAGAACATTTAACTGACTTCTCTTAATTAGGAAGCAAGGGAGAAAGGATTTTGAGACAACTAATGACCAATACTGCTTACCACAAACAAGAGAATTTAAATCCCTTTGTCCTAGTTCCTTGCTGGTTGAACTGCAAGAACAAATTCCATAGAAAGGAACAATATAGTTATAAATATGAGCACAACATCGCAACAGATTGCTACCCTTCTCAAATTTATCTTGTTTAACTCAGATTTTCCACATTTTATCAAAAGCACTATGTGTTTATCACCATAGATTTATGACTGTGTTTCCACTACTTGGGACAGAACTGTGGTAGGCGTTCACTGTGTATGTGTTTCTAATGTGTTTGTGTGTGTGGAGAAAGTGAAGGTTCCTGTGGCCAGGATCCTTCCTTGGCCCTGGTGGGCTGGCTCACTGCACATGTGTGGGCAATACGTTGTTATTGACTCCATAAAGAGCTCCGCCCAGTGCTCTGTGCAGCATAGCTGCAGGGCTGCAGGGCTGCAGGAGAGCAAAGACTGGAGTGGTGGCAGCTCTGAGGACAGAGACTGGGATGGCTGCAGGGCCAGAGAGGCCCAGAGGCAGAGACAGGCTTGCTGTATGCAGACTTGCTCTGAGTGGACAGGATTCTAGTGCCTGACCTGCGATGGTGGGAAAAAAGTTGGGTATAAATCCTTTCACCCAGGAACGTTCCATTGTCATTTTTCGGTCTCATTGAATCCATAGTGAACTTGTTTGCAGCTGAAATTCATTGGCAAGACCGTGTGTGTTGTATAAACAAAGTAGTATCTCTGGCATTCAATATAGCACTGCAGTGTGTAGTGAGGTCATGAAATGTATCATGTATCTCACTGGAATATTTGGGGGAGCCCCTGCATGGTGACTGGGGAGTGTGGTACTGTAAGTGGGTTTTAGTCTTTGTCTTCATGTGCTTTTGTAACTTGGTTCTGCCACTGACAGCCAGGTAGCTTTCTGATGATTTGACCTCTATAAATACAGATTTTAGGAAATTTAGAGAAATAGTAATGGAAAAATGCTGGCTCCAATAGTAGTATTAAGCATAAAAGTACGACGACTCCATCCTTTATTGCAAGATTGTTGTTCTTCCACCTATCCCATCCGGAAAAGAAGCCTTCCTTTCTATAATTATATGATTTTTGATTTTGTACACTTGAAATTATTGTGTTGAATGTGATTTTCAATCAAAAGGCATGTTAAACATAACAGTGCAAATGACACTCCTCTAAAGCACCCAATAGTCTCTCATCCAAACCCCACCCCAGGCTTAAGGGCACACCGATCTTCACCATCCTTGAGGAAGGGGCTCCTTTTGGTCAAACTATCTTCTCATATATTGTCTCAGTAGACAGTTCACAGCACCACAAAATCAAGAACAGTGGCCATGGTGAATGCCAGAAGATTCTGTGTCTCTAATATGTTCCCAGCTAATGCCAATGCTGACTTTGCCTGCCACACTTTGAGCAGCAAGGCGCTGGTTTTGAAACTTGGTTGCACAATCGGAATTGTGGTTTTGTTTTTTATAAATACTGATGCGCGGTCCCCCCAACCCTCTGGAGAGATTTGTTATGGGGCTCAGCTTTGGCATCAGTTTTAAAAGCTCCCCCAGGCAGTTCTAATGTGCAGCAGAACCACTGCTATAAACGAGTTAGGCTACTTTTCCCCACAAGTCCCCCAAATGCACAATTTGGTAAACTTACAAATCCTCATATGCCCCCACTTTGGTTGATATCAACTTCTAGATCTTTCTGTTTGAGAAGAGTGCCTGGCACAGGGCCTCACTCTTGGCATGTACTCAGTCTGTTGGCTACACCAGCTTACAGAAAGATGCTTGTTCTGCTTGCATGCTCTGGCAGGAAGGGGGCTGTGACCTGCTCTTCACTGTAAATATGGGTCCAGCCCATGTCTATGTACTGTGAGTCCTTTGCTAGGCTTCTTCCAAGGACGATCCTGTGGGAGAGGTTTAGCGGTCTTGGGAACTGAGGACAGACAAGAGAGCAAAAAAGGAGGAAGATGGCAGTAAAGAGGAGGGGAAGGAGGGAGGGAGGGAGAGAGACAAGGACAAAGGAAAGGAGGGGCGGAAGGGGTAGCAGAAAAGGAATGGGGAAGGCATGAGAAGGCAGACACTGGGTATTGAAGAAAACTGCTATAGCAGGTATTTACAAACTGTCATTTTTGAGAGGCGACACAAAGATTCTGTTGAGATCAACAAACTAATGGTTTCATTAAGCAACAGGCATCTTGAAAAGTTCTGTTAAACTATGTGGTCATTAAAAGAATAAAGGGACACAATACCAGAGAGAACCCAGGACTTAAAGACAGACCCACCAACAAATAAGAGTTACAGGCACTAGATAACACCAGCTCCATTTTTATGTGTGGAGATGGTATCAATGCTGTTGCAATGAATCTCTTATTCTTACTTTGCCTTAACAACTTATCTTTATGCATGTAGGTGGTTGCTGAAGAAATAACATTTAACCCATTTTTATATGAAGGAGTCTTTCAGGGCATTATTCATTTTGTAGTTACTTCTCTAGCCTGTACCATCCAGTATGTTGCCTGTGAATATTCGCTCAAAAATCCTCAAAATTTACCTTAAGATACCCTTTGAGGGTCTCATCCCCACTCCCAGCCTCATGATGAACATCTAGAAATTTCTTACTAGCGTTGAGGCCTTGATACTAGTGTTTTATGAGAATAAATAATGGGAATTCAATCTGTTCAGATTGGTGAAGGTTTGGTTATCACTTCTAAGAAACAGTCTTAATTTGCTGTGTTGAACCTCAGCCATACAAGTCCCTTTAGTGACATAAAAGAAGCCAGTCTTTAAAAGACGCTGACAGATGTTATGAGAGGTTTTTACAATGGAGCTGAGTTTCCTGCTCTGCTGCATGTAATTAGGCATGCAGATATAGAGCTTTACTCACTTTACTGGCCCAGTGGGAGGCAGCTGGGGGGGTGGGAGGTGGTCCAGCCTTCTGCTGACTAAAATGAAACTCTCTCTCTTTTTTAACATGTAAATGTGTCTGCATTTCTGGAAGGAAATAAGAGTTTGTGTTTTCACTTTTAAAATTCTGCGCAAAACTAAGTTTGTGGTAAGTAAAACATTTCTATTAATTTCAAGCAAACATAATTTATCCATTTCATAAAGAACTTGGATAGTAAGCTATTGTACAGTTGTGATTTAAGGACCAGCATTTTAGTGTCCTACCAACACCATTAAACACAGAATGTACCTTCTGTCTTGCAGTCTGGTTCATCCAAATCGGCTAAACTTTCCTGTTTTATCTTTTTTGATTCTTTGCTCTTCTGCACTTAGTACTGTGTCATCTAAAATGCTAGTGTTGGTAAACCACAGAATTGCCAGTTTTCTAGGTCAAGGTAGCATCTCTTTCTTTAAAACTTGAAATTTTCTTTGCTATGTTTAATTGGGAACTCTGTCTTTGGTTCATAAAATCTCGGCAGACTGCCCAGCCCCCTTCAACATTCAAGTTTATAAACAGCGTGTCTAAGAACAAAACTGGGACCTCCTTGGGCCAGAACACCCTCTGGGTCTCCTTTCACAGGCCCAGTCTAGGGCTAGGTCCCAAAGGTCTGGCTCATGTGTGGTTCCAGCATCACCTCTTCACCAGGCTGGAAGCAGGGGCATCTATGTTTCTCATATGCTTGCCACACATTCTCTATGAGCATCTCAAGCATCATGCTCTAACAACAGGCGCTCACCAGACACAGCGAGCACAGAGTAAATCGGTGGCAGTTCCGGCACATGTTGGTTTGTAAATCGGGAGGGACCTACCTCCTTGATATGAAGGTGGGCCAGTGTTACCCTTTTCCCAATTTATCAAGGAGGCAGATTTATCAACTCTTGCCTAAGACCAAAGAGGTGTCCAGAAGTAGAGTCAACACAACCCATGCTTCCTGTGTCCTGGGGAGGTGGACGGCACACTAAGCAGATAGTGTAGTGCATGGTAGATGGGGTAGTGAGTATGGATCACGAAGAAGCATGTACCAAAGCCAGTTCTGCAATTTACTAGTAGGGTTACCTTGGATAGGAGCTTAAGTTTTCTGAAGTTTTATTTTCTAATCTTTAGAATGGGAGTAATAATAAGTGTGGCTATTACAAAAAACACTAACATACAAGCTCCTTTTGTATCTCATTGCATCTCATCAAGCCCAAGTTTGTCAGATGACCCATATATGCAAGATCAGCTTCTCATTCAGTGCCTGTACTGCTTTGTCCACCAGGATACAGATTGGTCCACATTTGACTGCAGGCACATTGCTAATAACTCTTAGTAGTATACAGTGCTCCCTCCTACTGGTAAGAACACCTACTTGCAAACTAAGATTTGACAGGCCTCGTCAATGCCCTGCCAACACTTTGAAAATAAAACTCTTGAAGTTTCAACAGAAATATATTTTTACATGATAGGACGAAATCATCTATAATTTACCGCTTACATGGATTCAAAGAGCTGCATCAACAATGGGGCTGTGCTGAGCTCAGGCTCCACACTGTCTCCTAGAGGGATTAAACAGTCCTCATAATGTGTAAGAGGCAGAAAAAAGTGACCCAAGAAGGGGCTAAATCCTTAGTTGTCATTAGTATTTTCTGATGTTAATGCTTAGATTTGAGAAGACAGAAGGAACTGACTTACTTTATATATTTGTCTGATCCTTTACTACATAATGAAAACTCATGTTTTATTTGACCCCCAGGGGAAAACAGCTAAACTGGGCAGTTTGTTCTTGAAATAAAATATCAGCATTTGACATATGCTCAAAGTTCTTTAGAAATCAGAACATCACAGACTTATTAGAAAGTAGGTACCCCAAGCTTATCAGTGCTGTTAACATTGTTTTATTTTTCCTTTATACAAAAAGTAGAAATGACAGAAAAAAACACTCTTGACAGAAAACAAAAGCACTGACCTGGTCTCGTTGAGGAGCTGGGACCAAACTGTCCGTATTAGAGGGAAAGAGAAGTTCAATCAACTTGAGCAAATACTCATGCAACTGATGAGATACAGAATGGTGTCAGTGGTTTGGTGAATGTCCTGGAGATTGAATCAATCCAGTCCTAAAAAGCATACATTTGCCCAAACATGCTTTTAAACAGCATCTCTTTAAAAACAAGTTATATATACAAATATCACCCCAAAATGTGTCTTATACAGTCTACTGCTATAAATGTAAGGCATCCTGATAGTCTGTTCTTCTGCTGATGAGGCATTGGTCTCATGGTTCTAATTCCAGAGGACAGTCCAGAAATTTCCAGTCGTGTCCAGAGGGCAGCAATGAGAGATAATAACAAGTGATTTACAAGAAGAGTTCTTTTGACTCTGGCTCAGCAATGTGCTTTATGCTGTAGGATTTCTTCATTTTTCTGTTGATGTCATTATGCCTAAGCAAAAGAGAAACCACAAGGCCAAAATTAGATAAAACTACGGTTAAGACACCACCATTAAACAGCTCACCAAAAATGGAAATTGTCCTCACACAAACCACACTGAGGAACACTTCATTCCAGTAGGCAAAGTATCCTCTTCTCATATAAATGACTTGTTAAACAACACAAGCCGGTCATATGATAACACCCACTTAGAGAATGCTCTTGAATTTGGCTTCGAAAGTAATTTCTCCATCAGGCTAATTGGAATCTAGGCAAAATTCTATAGTCAAGTGAATTGTATCAGAGCCAAACAAGATACACAGGGAAGTCCTGCTGGTTGAGTAGAATCCATATTTTAACTACATGGATCCACTGGTGACACCTTTTACTGTCCAACAAGCTTGAATCTTAATAGTTCAAAGAAGATGTTTTCTCTTCAGGTTGTGGGATTATTGAGTAGTAGCATGTGGGAAGTAAGTGTATGGGAAAAGGAAGAAATGAGGGAACAGTAATGCTGTTTTTGCCTCCATATTCCATACGTAGTAAGCCTGTGGAAAGAAACACAAGCTCAAGCCTTAGAATGTTTGCTTTTTAAGTCAATTTCCTTCTGAGTTGGTGCATTAATTTTCATGAGATATTAGTTCCATTCTGGGTATAAAATCTCCCAAGAAGACTCATTTTCTGAGGGTGGGCAAGTTTATGTATTACTAAATTCCTTCTTGTCTCTAGGCCAGACAAAAGCAGGCTGTTTCTGGTGATGTTACTCAGAAACATGAGGACATATCTGGGTGGAGTGGAGAGCCCCAAGTGTGGTTTTGTAGCCCCCAAATCATGACTGCTTACAAAGACCATGTAGTCTATTCTCAGTGTTCTAGTAAATATTTTGATGATCACCATCTGCAAGTTATGATTTTTATTTATTGCTTTGAATAGAACTTTAGAGTTGTCCATAGGTAAGAAAAGAAAGAAGGCAACAGAAAAGCCTGGTTGATTAAAAGACATTCTAGGGATTTCTGATTAAGCATGGTAAATTAAATACACATATTTATCACCCCTTTATGATGAAACAACACTAAAATGAAAGTAAAGAAATAAAAAAGGCGTAGGCCTCAATGAATAAGGGAAATAGGAGAGGAGATAACAGAAAAATTCCAATAATATTTCAGAAATGAAAGGTGGATAGACATATGGAATTGATTTAGCAGAGCAGAAAAAACAGAAATCTAGGTCTACAGGCAGGGAACCCAACAAACTGATTTGCAGCAAGACACAGAAACTAGACATAGCATGTACTTCTGAAGATTACAGTAGGTGCTATGGGGGTGCTGTAAATGGGAAGATTATTTGAAAATTTTTTGAAAGTAGCAGTCTATACCCCAGATGATCTCCCTGACCCAGTGCAGCTAGGTGGCCTTCCCTTTCCCAATGTGAAGAAAAACTGGAGGTTACATTTTGCAAGGCATGAGCCAGAGAGACTCTTAATTCAGTGTAATAATAACAAGTAAAGAAAAAGTGGGGAAAATGTTTACAATTCGTATTACAAAAGGTTAATCATAATTAGTAACATCGAAGAGCTGCTATAAATCAACAAAAAAGACCAGAATCTCAATAAAAGTAAAGGTCTAAAAACAGTAAACTGATACAATAAAATAATATGTGGCTATGTAAAAGAATGAAGAAGCTCTCTACATACTAATACATAAAGCCCTTCCCTGTGTTAGGTGAGGAAAAGCAAGACACAAAGCTGTGTGTATAGTATGTCACCTTTACTGTAAAAAGAAAGGAAAGAAAAAATTGTACATTTGCATTTGATTGTAAAAGTTAAATGTCTTGCAAATATAATGCTATAAAAAAAGGAACAAAGAAAACCAACAAAGTACCATTAGAAATTAACAATAGCAGAAATAAAAAATTAAAAAGATTGGAAGGTAAAGTTCAGTAAAGATCCTAGGAAGACCTAAAAAAAAGTGAAAGAAACAACTAAAAAAAGGGATAAAGGCAGAAGAACGATTAGAAAATCTGAGGGTTGGTACAGTGTGTCCAACATTAGAATAATAGGATTTCTAGGAAGAGTGAACAGAAATTGGAGGGGAGAAAACTTTCATTTTTTTTTCCCAGAACAAAAACATTTTCAAGAACTCAAGCATTAGATTGAAAAAGCCTCCAGGAATGAAAATGAAAATCATGGCAAAGTATCAAGAAATCAAAATACTGGGGATAAAGAGAAAATCATAAAAGCTTTCAAGGGATTAGCAATTAGAGAGGAATGGAGCTTCTCAACAGACACATTAAAAACATGAAAATGAAGAAATGTGTTCAAGATTCTCAGATAAAATAATTTCCTACCTAGAATTCTATACCTAGCCAAACACTCCTAATTCAGTATGAGGGTGAACTAAAGATATTTTAAGGCAGGCAAGGTCTCAGAAAATTTAGCACTTATTCACCTTTGCAGGCTGTGAAGATGTGCTTACTAAAGCAAGAGAATGAAACAAAGGGGAAAAAAAATAAAGATAGATTCGGGAAATAGGGCTCTACACAGGAGAGAAGCAAAAGAGATTCCTGGAATGATGTACATGGGAGACTCTACAAAGACAGCAGTGTAGCACTTCCAGATAGCAGCAGTAGAGATTGGGGCAGGAGGAAAGAGGGTGTCTCCATGAATGGACCGAAACTGAGAGATACCTGATTTATCTGGGTGCACTGAAATATTTCTGTCTTTAGCAGAGTGTTTAGACATGAACTATAAGATAAGACATCAAAATTATTATCTCCAGGGAAAACAGTTATATGAGAAAGGAAATGTAATACAGCATATCACATGGATCCAATGTCATAATAATAATAATAAACACTGAATACTAAATTTAATCCCAAAGAGTGATACAACCATATGGATAACAGGAAGAGGAAGTAGGTGTGTGTCTATGTGTGTGTGTGTGTGTGTGTGTGTGTGTGTTTGGGTTGGGGGCAGTGTTGGCTGCTAAACTAGAACTGGACAAATTCGGTTCATTGTTGAGGATATGGATTTTGGAACCAGACCGACTGAGTTCAAACCCTGGGGCAATAATTTTTATTATCATCATTATCATGTAACCATGACCAAGATATTTAATCTCTCTTAGCCTTGGTTTCCAATTTTCAAAATTTGGTAATAATAGTTGCTACCCTATCATATCATTGTGAAGATTAAAACAGCTCATATACATAAAGCACTTGGAATATGCCCTGGTACATTGTATATGCTTTAAAGTAGGAGCTATCATTTTTATTTTCTATAGTAGGATGCCAACAGATGATGGAAAGAATATCTAAAATTGAAAATCTATATGAGAATGTTATTTAGAAATACAGAGTACTAGAAAAACATCTGAAGGAAAAAGAAGTGGTTGATTCAGGGGAGTGGGATTAGGAAACAGGGTAAGTTGGGCAGAGAGGCCAGCCAGTTTTTGTTACAGTGCCAGCATTACTTATTACATGTACTTACAGCATTTTGACACAAAAATTAAATTAAAAATAAATAAAAGTTAAAAAACAAGGCTGAGGTTGTAGTCTAAGGGTAATATCATCATTAGACAATGACAGAGTATTTCTGCTCTTAATATAAGGTGTACTGTAGTCAAAAGCATGAAAAAGAACACTTTCTACCGGACAAAACCTGGCATGATTAGAGCTGAGTCTATACCAAGTAAAATGTTAATTTGAGGCATTTATCTGAATAATATCAGGATAATTCAAGCCTCTCTGAACCCTTCAATTACCTAGTCCTGAATTACCAGTATTCAAAACAACAAACGTGTTTGGGTAATTCTGGCATGAATTATTCAGATAATTTGCTGCTCCTTGATTTCATTTTTGGATATGAAAGCACATTCTTAGTGACCAAAATTGGAAAGAAAAGGCTTAAATTTAAATGACAGTTTTTCAAGTAATCTAGCTTGCTGACTCATCTAGGCATGGATTCCATATTTCCATAGCTCATGGTGAGCAGACAGCAATTTAAAGGATTGTCTAAAATGGTCCATGGGCATGCATTACATTTGCACTGATAATCAAAACAGGTAGACTGCTACTTTTGTGATCTTCTTGAGAGCTTTACTAAGGCCATAACTATAAATCCCATACACTAAAAAACTGGTTTCTAGTTCAAAGAATGGAAACTTATATCAAAAGTACCTGAATGAAACTGACTGTACGTAGGTGGACTTGGAATCAAATGTCCTAGATTTATACAAAGGACATCATTCTTTCTATGGGATGACAGGCTTAGTCTTCTATTTTCTCTTTTCTTTTTCTTCCTTCTTTTCCTCTCCTTAATTCTCCCTCTCTTCAATATTTATGAGGTCCCTATAATGTGCCAGGTACCAAGCTAGACGCTGGGGACACAATAGTGCTATTGAGGGTCACTGCTCTCATGGATTTCACCTGCCATTCACGGAGTTTGCTGTGCCTTAACTGTATCCTCCCTCCGTTCTCCATGGATTAAGAGCTCGCTGGATGAAGGGCCATGCCTTATTCTGGCAGATCAGAACGCGTAGCTTAAAGCTACAGAGGTTGAAATGCGCACCCTGGCAACCCAGGGACATGGCATTCAGGAAGGGACTCTACCTGCACTGTTCTCAACTGGACTCTGCAGGGAGGGAGGAGAGGAAGGTGGAGGTGGGAGAAGGCGGTTGTAAGTTCTTAAGGTCTGTGACCACACTGAACCGGAATAAGCATGCTAGCATAATGGACTTCTCACAGGATGACTGGGTTTCCAAGGCAGGTCTCCCACTTGTACTGCATGGGGGGCTCCACCTGCCCATCTCCAGCCTTCAAAGGGCAGTGCTCTAGACAAAACAGGGTTCTTAGGTACCACAGCTTTTGCTGTGACTCGGCTCAGCATACTCTGATACTAAACTCTGTTTCACTGTTTACCTGTGGAGGAATATGCTTTCTCCCTTGCCCTGGTCAATCTTGAGAACTCTGGCAGCGGTTATAAAGAGTTTACTAAGTTGTACTAAGATGCTGGAAAGACCTGATCATTTTAACTGTTCCCTATAACGTGGACAATTTTTCTCTTTACACAAGATTCTACTATGGAACAGCCAGTGACAATGCAAAATTGGGGCCCTTTTCAAAGAGGAACTTGTCACTTAATGTAATCTGGAGAAATGGTTCAAGATTGGGGTCTTCTTTCTCCTCCAAGTTATAGGGACAAAGCTTCACTATGAAATAAGGGTTTTCTCTCTGAAACTCATTTGACCCTGTGCAGGGAGCACAGAACACCTGGAGAAACACAGGGAGGTGTGAACCGGAAGGCCAGATAGGCTCTGGGCATTTCTGGAACAGGGGTCACCACCCCAGGTCCCCAGTGTCAACTCTTGCTGATTGATTGGCTCTGGACCCCAGAGCTAGTGTATCAGAAATGAAAACACATGAAAACACTCCAGATCAGGCTTAGAAACTGGAACTATTGTTTTGGAGAAGAACTCTTCTAATGAACTTTAACAAACACTTAAACTTTTCTGAACTGTTACATTGCTAAGATTCAACCAGTTCTAGGGGACTCACTCCAGAACTATGCAATCAACATGCACAGATAGCTTGGTTAACATACCAATGACTGAGTAATTATGTAACTATCCCTTCAAGAATCCTTAAAAAGCATGAGTTAAACATAAATACTTCGAGATCAAACTTTTAAGACAAGATTAAAATGTGATTATTTTACTATAACCAGAGACATTATGGCAAGGATGCATTTGTTGCAGGATCAAGGATTCCTTTTTGGGCTGACTGCATTTTCCATCATGATTCTGGGAATTCTGTTCAGTGGACAGAGGGTGTGCTCTGCTTGGGACAGGATTCAGCCAGGGCCTCAGCTCTACTCATTTTCCTGTTTAGAATGGTGTCCTGACAATAAGGACAGAAATGTGTATGTGTGTGTGGTGGTAGTAGGGGCTCTCTGAACTCTGACCTCCTGTGGGGCACAGCAGATGAGCACTGCCAGCCCTTGCATCACCTGGGGCCAAATGTAACACTATCTTTGAAGTGCCTGTTGAACCACCTTGACATCTATGCAAAATATCTGGTCCTGGCTCTTGGCTCTGGATGTATAATTCCCAGTGTGGCTAATTCCTTGGCAGTAAAACTCACACTAATAGTGTTTATTACTTAATGTTTTTTAAGGAGTCCACTCTGATGTTGGTGCTAGGATTAGGGGTTTCCTGCGGTTGACCCCCTGGTGCCACTGTGGTCAGACAGGGTGTGGCTGGTGGTGGCTAGGAGTTAATGCCCTCTGCCTAATGGTAACTGGAATCAATGCTCATGTCATGTGTTGCAGATCTCAGATAGACTTAAACTTTGGGAAATGAATGTCTTATTGGCATTTTAAGACAAGCAATTGCAAACATTCCTGTGGAGTTGCAGTAACTCAAAACCAGCTTGTCCTTTATAAGAACAAGTAAAGATAAATCTGCTTGCTATGAACAAAGTCATCCTCTGCACTTGAAACACACTGGGAAAGCTGTTCAAAAAATAGAGTTGAATCTAATTTTAATGGGCATTGGAAAGAAATTTAGATTCTTTGCTATCAAGCTGTGACCAATTTAGAAAAATAAATAGTAAACAGAACTCCTTCATATCGCTGATACTCTTTAAAATGTTGTATTTATTGTGCCTATTTTTCCTTTACCGGGAAAAATAAAAATTTCTTTGGAACTAAAATACAGTGCCAGTGTGTGGCTGGAGTCCCTTGTCCCACTCCTCCTAGGGCTATACTCACAGGGCCATTCAGTGGTATGTTTGCAGCTAACTCCAACCCAGTGACTGCCATTGATTACCAGTTATATAATCACCAGCAACCCCTGTTAAGTTACATAATCCCTGTTATCCGAGAGGGGTCATTTGACCTTCAAGCAAATCCTTGGGCCAAAATTTGGAGCCTCACTGGTAGCTGAGCACCTGGGTTCCTTTCCTTACTGCATCTTTCTATGGGGTGCTTTTTCCATGGGTCTCTTAGGCAAAATGAAGTAGGTCCTAGAGTCCGTTAGGTGTTTTTCATGCCCAAATTCCCATGCTAGTTTTAACTTCTCTGAAAGATCTTTATTTCAACTAGAAATATTCATCTTTATCTAGGGAGCGAACTGGACTGGTTCTCTCTGCCTCTGTGTAGCTATGAGTCGATCAGAGAAATCTCCCCTTTCTAGCTTGAACAAATAAGCGGGTTTCTCACTTCCTATGGAATGCGTGCCAAACTAAAACCATGGTAAAGTATAGGCTAATTTATAAGGTAGTGACAGGAAGGGGTCAGGATGCTTATTTAAATAAACTGAATATTTTTATTTTGGGGTGTCTGCCTATCACTAAAATCAAACTCTGTTAATAGGTAAAGCCAATAAATCTGATAGGTTCAAAACTGAGCCTCCACTCAGAAGGATTGTTCCTTAAACTGAGTAAGAAAGTGTTTATCTAGTGTCAGATATCTGAGTAGCCCTATAAACCTCATTTTGTGCTCTGATTTTTGCAGCTCTGATTCGAGTTGATTGTTCAGCTTTGTTCCCGTATTTGTCAAAAGACAGGGTGAAGTTATTTCTTGCAGGAGAATATTCTGTGGTGCTAACTGTCGTTTCCAGGTGCTATAGGAGCCTGGAAGAAACGAGAGCTATTTTCCTTCTGCCTCCCAAAGCATTTGCCAAGCTTTCGGGCTTCCTTTCCTCGGAGTATGGTTGTTGACTTCTGTGTAAGGGCAAAAGCACAATTTTCCAGGTACCACAAGACACACCCAACCTAAGACAGGGACAGAGAAGAGTATAGGGGGTAGGGAAGACAGGGCGGGAGAAAGAGAAGTGGGCCATTACCAATATCTGGGGAGGGAATGTATATTTTTCTATTTCCTTCCCACCTGGGGCATTGGGCTTTTTGCACAGTGTGGCCAGAAGCAGCCCGCCCAGTCTTAGGCAACCCATGAGCCTGATCCTAGCAGAAAGCTGCGACCAGTGACTGGAGATTCTCAGGGTTTCCTTCAGTTTACTAGATTAATGAGACCCCTGGGGCATGCCCACTTAATGACTGAGGTTTAGTGTTCCTCTAGCCTCAACGGAAACCTGGAGCAGATTGAGCTGGATTCACGTGACGCTTCTTGTACCTTAGTATTCTGAAATAAAACTCACACCTTCAACTCATACACTCGCGTTTGTGTATCAATGTATACATACACACATACACACATTTTGGAGGAATTTGGAAGAGTGCTGAAAGGCATGTTGTATTTTTCTTTCCATCGAATAAATTAAATCTAATTTTGATGATTAAAAAGCAATAGTTTCCTTTTAAGATGGGTTTGGGGGCTTAACTCTTCTGAAATAAGCCAGTCATGAGGCACTGAAGGCGCGGAGCCCCCCTTGACGGCTTTTTATTCACCCCGTGTCCTGCTTTGTCGGGGTGGAGCATAGTCCCCGGGGGTGAGGGGTGAATGAAAGGCATGCCCCCGAGGGATTCGCCCAAGGAGGTGCCCAAGCCACAGGGAACCTCCAAGGTAGTCCTTTTTGTGTACAGTCAATGCATTTTTTAATCATAAATGCTTCTGTTTGAGAAGGACCCTTCTTTTACTCCTAGACTGGTTTATAGATGGGCACTGTGGTCCCAACAGCTAAGCCAGAGCAGTTTCAGAATGGCAGGGCCTTCCTTCTCCTAAGTGCGGCAGACTGGTGGCAAAAGGAGCAGTGTGCAATCATCAATGAAATAAAACTTCTCTGTTTCATAGTTCTGATTCTGATCAGAGGTGGATTCATTCCACCTATGACAGAAAATTTAATTTCTATATGTGCTTGGTACTTGACTCCATTAAAACAAAGACTGAAAGCCAAAGTCAACTGGGAAACACAGTATGTAAGCTGAGGAGATTCCTCTGCCCTCTGCTGCTGGAATAAAGCCCCTGCAATAGGGGCTTCCTTTCCAAGGCCCCGTTACAAGTCTGCCTCCTTCTATTTGGCGGGAGAGTTATAATGTTCTTCTTCCTTGGTGTCAGCTCCTGCTAAAAGTGCTCCGGGCTCATAATTTAAGAGATTTACTTTAAAAGATCATGCAATTCAAAGCAAAGGCATGACCCTGGCATGCAGTGCCTCCCCCAGCACCACGTACCGTGCATAGTTACGCAGATGTTCTTCAATCAGCGGATTAGAGGAAAGATTGATGCAGCTGCTGTACATCTCCTAGAGAGGTGCAATTAGAAATCATCTGAAAACATGCAACAGGCTCAGTACATGCACAAGGCTCAATAAACAGGAGGCATGCAGGAGAGAAGACAGAAGCTTCATACACTCTGTAAGGAACATGGGGAGCAGTTGAGATAATTGTTTCATTCTTCAGAGAGAGAACACATCAAGTTCCTTGGAAAAGTTTTATTTGAGCAGTGTGAGTTTGGACATATTATCACACAGGGCCTGGTGTTTGGGGCATAAGTGTGACTTTTGTGGCGGAAACAAATACATGCTGGAGTCCTTTGTAATGAACACAATTCATGGTGGAAATGAATGTATAGTTAAGATCAATGTTCAATTAATTAGAGCAGTATTAATTAAAACTTGATTTTGGTATTGCAAAAGAACAGATATTTCTAGACCTCATTGTAATGAGATTTTGCTGTATAGCAAATAATAAATTATGCAGGCTGTATCTAGACAGCATGATGGATATACTGGATCCTTCCATTCCCAGTTCACATTTTGGGGGCTATACTATTTTTTGATGGCATGGCATGCACAGAAGATGCAGGAAACATTGCCTAAAAAGATATTTGTATCTCTTATTTACTAGTTTTAAACCAGAGATTACAGTGCATGGCTTTCCAGTAAATGCAATTATAAAATGTAGTTCATGGCACACTCTGCCATCCCCTGTGTACCGGCAAGCACTTCAGACTGCTACAGCTTCCTGATCAACACTTAGGGGCTTGAGTCATAAAATGCCAACGTGGAGTCCCTGTGGTATATTCATCTCAAAGGTTATTCCAATGTTGGGCAGTTAAGTCTTTAGAAAGAGGGTTTCTATTTATGTGCACTTTAATTGGGCTTGAGAATAAATATCCAGTCGCAGGAAGGGAACAAACTGTTTCTGGGGCAGAATCTCAATGCCCAAGAAGGGTCTCATTTCACAGCAGTTGGGGGTCGAATCTTGGGCAGTCTCCCAGTCTAGGAGATCCTAATACTCAGCCATGAAACTACTTAGGAAAATTTAGGGACCAGAATAGAATCTCCTGTGATTTATTTAATCTTCTTCTCTTGTAGTATTTTCCCAAGCAAGACCAAGGTGTACATATTCCAACATGACCTACCTCATGAGAAACACATGGATTTGGCTTTCCTTTTGGAATTTTTCTGGGGATGCCCACAAGATGGCAAAGGTCAACAACCTGAAGTGTTAGGAACAACATATTTAATTCAGAGGGAAAATGGGGACACTCTAAATGGCACTCACCGCCTTATTCTTTCCTTTACTGCCAGAGCTTGCAGGATTTCCCTTGGGATCTGTCACCTTCCTTCCCAGTGAGGTCAAGGGTAGTGTAGAGGTCTTCAGCTGGTTGGGTGCCTGATAGTTATTATTATTGTTCTGGTTTCCGCTTAGCGTCTCCATGATAGACCGGAAGGTTCCGAAAGGCCTTTTCAGTTGATCCCCTGCGTCACTACTCGTGGAGGTCCGCTGCAGGGCCCTGCCCTTATCTCTGTCTTTTTCTCCATTTAGTTCAAGGCTATTTTGCTCTACCTGCACCACAGGCTCCTCGAAGGTGACTCTGAGCTTCGAGTTCTGAGACGTCCGGCGCTTAGAAGACGGAGACTTGAGAGCGCTTTTGGGACTCATGGCCAGTTTCTGGGCAGCTGTGCTGTCGGGGCTGGGCTGAGCGGGGTCTCCAGAGGGCTGGTTTGGGGGAGTCGTCCCTGAGCCTGGACTCTGTGATTCCAAGTCTGGGTCGCTGCTCTCTGAAGTGGGAGATGGGCTATGGCCATCTAGAGGTTTGGAGGCCTTGACAGTAAAAGGAAACCTGCGTCCTGATGCCAAGGTGTGTTTCTTGATCATCACGTGCAGGCTTTCTGCGCTGTCCATGCTCTCCGCACCTTCCACGATGGGCTGAGGCCTGGGCCTGTCAGCCTTTCTTGCTGGCGTGCTCTTGGGGTCCTCGGAGGTGGTGCGGTCCGTGTCGGACTCACTCAGGGACCGCTGCATCAGCTGCCTCAGCCTGGCTAACTTCAGCTCCCGCTTCTCCACAGGCATCTTTTTGGAATTTCTAGAGGAAGCCTGAGCATCCTGAAATTCCAAGGACAGCTTTTCCTGGGTGCACACATTCTCTGAGATATCTTTTCCCAGTAACTGGCGTAGGATTTTATTAGAATCTTCGTCTTTTGCTTTGGCCCTGGCTCGGCTGGTTGCTGACAGGCTTCCGAGAACCTGAATCCCCTCTTGGACTACTGGTTTGCTTTTGGTTATAGACTCTTCATCGGCATCTGGGGATTTCCACTGGGACTTTCTGGAAGCAGGGGAGGATGGTGAGCTGAAAAGAGGATGGAAACATAGGAGATGATTTCCTTCTGGGTTAAAATGACTTGACCACAACTCACTGTGTGGCCTGTATGGCTGTTAATAGCTTATAAGTCAGTAAGACTGGAATAAGAATAGTCACTTAACATCTGTTCAAAGCCATGTGCAAATAGTCCGTAGTGGCAACTATAACCAAAGTGTAGATTGCCTCACACTTATGCTATGATTAAATCTGTTTTACTGTTTGCACATCAGTTTTGCCCAAGTTTTATCAATTAATCCCATCTTCAAATACCTTATGAACCTACCTAACCTTATTCCCATTTCATAGATGAAGAAATGAAAGACTGTGAAAGAGTTAAGTGCCTTGTTCATAGTCTTAGAATGAAGAAATGGCCCAGCCAGAAACAGACCCAGGTCTTCTGACTCAACATCTATCGCCTTCTTCCCTGCAATGTCTCATTTTTATTCCTCTTCTTAAAAGATCTTAAAAGATATCGTCTTCTTAAAAAGATCTTAAAAGGAAGTCTAAAAGAAGGCTCAGAGATTAAAGATACTTAAGAACTCTAGCCACCAATGTTCCCAGTATTACCTGGGTGAAGAAAGGAATGACTTGCCCTCTGATTTCTGGGCCTCTAGAAGTTGCTGGAGCTGGTTCTGCAGTGTGACACGTTCCATCGTCTGTCTGGGAAAAAAAAACTAACACATGTTAGCGCTCTGATACATGGCTACTATGACAAGTTAGTATAAATTTTTTTCATGACAATTTGCAATAAATTGCAATAAATAAACTTTATAAATGTGCATAATCTTCATTCTTACATTTCAGAAATTTTCCTAACAATATAACCAAAAGTACCCAAAAGAATGTTTGTTATCCACATCAGCAAAAAACTTTAAGTAACCTAAATGCTCATCAGTAAGACTGAGTGAATAATTTATCATTATTTCTATAAAGGCAGCTATTATAAGTGATATTTCAATATCTATGATATAAAAATTTTCCCTGATATATTTAAAGCATGAATGCTTGACTTTCCTTAAGTGAAAAAGGAAGTTATAAAATACTGTGTGTAAGTTTCATTTTTAAGATATTATCTATCTATCCACACACACACACACACACACACACACACACACCTCAATAGAAAATAATTTGAAAGGATACACTCAAAAATATTACTTATTCTTTCTAAATTAAAATTTTTAAAGTGACGTATTAATTTACCAGTCAGAAAAAACCAAAATGAAAGTAAGACAATTAAATAACTTGGTATTTTCTTATATAAAGGGAAAACAGTTACGGCAACACTCAATTTACTCTGGATGTAAAAGAATGTGTATCAGAATGTGCTTTAAGGTTAAGAAAATAGGTTAAAAGCCACAGATTACAGAAAGTGAAATCTGTTTAGGAAACATTAATCATTACAGAACTTGAGAAAAGTGAATCAAACTGATTCTGACTTTAGAGGAATAAGAACTATTTATTGAACTCTGTAGTATTAGTGTCTTAAACCACCTCCCCTTCCCGCCCCCCAACAAAGATGTCCATTACATCCTAATTCCTGGAAGGTGTGAAAATCTTACCTTATGTGATGAAAGGGAATTAAGGTTATCAGCTGACAAGAAAACAGGGAGGTTACCCTGGATTACTAGGGTGAGCCTAGTCTAATCACATGAGTCTCTAGCAGGGACTAGAAGGCAGAAGAGGAGGTCAGAGATTCATGATGTAAGAAGACCCTGATCCTCTGTTGCTGGCTTTGACCATGGAGGAAGGGCTGTGAGCCCAGGAAAGCAGTGGCTTCTAGGAGCTGGGCAATGACCCTCAGCTGACAGCCAGTAAGAAAATGGGAACCTCAGTCCTGCAACCACAAGGAGCTGATTCTGCAAACAACCTGAATGAGGAGGACATGAGCATCCTAGAGCCTCCAGAAAGGAATCCAGTCTGCTGAAAACTCTGCTTTTGTAACATGAAGTCAACCTCAGATGATATCTAAATGAATGCATAGTATTCTAATAAAAGTTTGTTTACAAAACAGGTGGTAGACTGAATTTCACCCACAGACTACACAGTTTGCTGACCCTGGTCTAAAGAAAGAAAAAACAAAAATACATATATGCACTTCTACTTTTCCCACTTTACAAGTTTGTACTACATGCTCTGTTTTTAAGAAAAATATTTAGTGAGGGCCTAATATAGTCTACTTTTGAAGGGTTTATTAGGTGTCCAAGTGAACTGTGATACAGTTAAGAAACCTATTTGGGGGCAACTGGATTGACCAACGACTGAAATCCCAAGTACAAATGGAGAAACAAAGGACTCTGCTCTCTAGATTCAAAAGAAGCCTTTAGCAAGGACTAATCAATTTTAATTATAATATATTACATGAAATACATGCAAATATATGAATATATGAAAAAATATCAGAAATTTAATTCTTCACATATCTGGATGCTAAGAAATCTAAGAATAAGGTGTTGGCAAGGCTGGCTCCTTTTGAGGTCTTCTCTTTTTTGCTTCTGGCGATTTGTTGGCAATTTCTGGCATCCTTTGGCTTGGATGCATGTCCCTGACTTCTGCCTGAAGGTTCACATGGTGTTCTCCCTGTGTGGGTCTGTCTCTGTATCTACATTTCCCCCCTTTCATAGGGACACGGGTGATATTGGGTCAGGGCAGACTCTGATGACCTCATTTTAACTTGATTACTTCTGTAAAGACCCTCTTCCCAAATAAGGTCACATTCTCAAGAAGTAGGGGTTAAGACTTCAATAGACCTTTTTTAGGGAGGGCACAATTCAGTTCATAACACTAGGTGAGTCGATTAGGGCTTCTAATAGAGTCGAAAGGTTGCTATTTCTGAGGAGTAAGTATGTTTATTAACTATGAAGAGTTGGCTAAAGGTACTCTGGTAGGAAAAGGTCTCAAGACTGTCTCTCTCAGAAGTTTTGGACTGAGAAGACTGGTGTTTTCCATCCTTCCTCCTGCACTTCTCTCTGTTACTGGTGCTGGAGTCGAAAGGGTATGTGTACTGTGGAAATGCTAAGTGGATTTCTCCATTCTTTTTAGTTTGCCAACCTCACTGAGGCAGACAGTAAGTAAAAGACTAGAGTTACAGTGTAACCACTCATATTTTTATCTTGTCATTGGCCTAACTACAACTCTCTACAGAATTCAGCTTTGGAGACAATGGAAGAACTGTTGCCTGTTAGTGTACATGTGTATTTCATCTCAGGATCATCAAGAGAGAGAGCAGCCTAAAGCATGGCTTTGAACGGTTCACCAATAAAACTGCTATTATAACTTAGAAAGCCTCTCAGCCTCTGTGGTATTGAGACTGAGAGAATGCTTTGTGAGCTTTTCTCTGAGCATGAACCATTAAAAAAATATTTTATTGGATCACTTTAAAGTTCCTTTGAATGGGTATGTCTATACACTACCGGGGGAGTGGACACTGGTACATTTTTGGAAGGATTTTAGGCAACATCTATCCACATTTTAAATATGTATGCCCTTTTTCTCTAGCAATTCTCTTTCTAGAATTTATTTTTAGAAAGACCTATACATGTACATAAAGATATGTGTACAAGTATGTTCAATGCAGAAAGATAACTCACTGAGTTATGAATTTGTGTGCGTTTTCCCTTCAGTTACATCATGCCCTTCAAGCTTACCTTGCTCACCTGCTCCAGAGGAATTTTATATAACTGGGCAGATGATGTTTGGAGGGAACTCTTTAATTAAAAAATAATTTTTTTCCTTGTCATATTGTTGTATGAATTACACTTACATCAGTTAAGGCCTCCCACCCTTAACTTTTTTTTAAGGAAAAAGACTTCATATTTTTCCTCTAAAATTTAATTTTCAAGGCATGCTTCCCTGACATCTAGGTATGCAACATGTACCAGTTTAATAATCTCATCAGGAAAAGAACTGACTTTAGCCAAAGAGGCTTTAAGTAATGCCATACTGACTGAACATTATATTTCATTTTGAGGATTCAAGAATTGTCTGCTGAATTTTTATAGTGCATTTACTGGTGATGGTTACCAGATTACCTATCCGTAATTTCCCAAAGACACATTTTTCTTTTTGAGGAAACTGAGAAACTGGCCCACCTCTAGCCTTTCTTTCTCCCTCATGCTCTTTCTGATTTCCTAGAATATTCAGGGCAGAAGTTTAGGGATGAGGATGTGTGTGCTTGCCACACCCTGCTCCTAATTTGGCCCTGAGATGTACACACACAGAGAGCCTCTCTCTCATCCAATGGGGCTCAGATTCCCTGCTTATAACACAGCTTGCTCTGCATTTCTTTTGTTGTTGTTGTTTAAATATCATTTGCCCATGCAGAGATGACATCTTAAGCATGACTGAGTTGGGAAGGAGGAAGGAAGGAATCTGAGACGGGTAGGAGCCCCGCATACACCCAGCTGAGGGTAGCCTACCCAAGCACCTACTGAAACCTATGCATGGTGGTGACAAGCCTGATTTTGTGCTCACAGGAAGAATGGACCACTTACTCCTTTAGCTGTTTGGTGAGCTTCACCACCTGGGAGGCCAGCGACATGCAGGTCTCCACCACCACCAGGTACCGGGAGCACAGCGAGTGGCCGTGATGCTCTGCGCTCTGGGAGGGCTTTTCCCCTGCGTGGTTCTGCATGGTGACATTTGCTCCATATTCGACCAAGGTCTGCCAGAAATTGCAAAGATGTGATCACATCAAGATGTACTTTTTAATGGCTCCACGGAAAGGTGATTGGAACTTGTCCTGTTATTCCAAAAGCAGTTACCAGCAGCCACAGCAGGCTGGGGGGCAAAGGGTGCCACCACATACAAAAGAAAACCTCTGCAAGCTTTCAGCAGTCAGTATCAGACAGCTCCCTTCAGAGCTTACAAAGATGCAGCAGAACTGACCCTGCATCCGACCACCCCCACGGGTCTGGGCAGGAGTCAGCTGGGGAGGGAGGCGTGTGCTGCCACCCTGAGAGGCAGCCCTGAGCAGGGCAGCCTGGATCTGGGGCGAGATGCTTGTGCTTTTCAGTGCACAGGCTCATACAGTCAGGGACACCTGGAAGGAAGAGAGAGTGGCGTTCTGTTTACCAGTTCCTGTTTGCTTGGGTAGTGTACTTCATCTGTAGCTGAGCCTACCCAACTGGGAACAACAGGAACTGCAGACATGGGGCAGTGAAGCAGCCCACACTTTCACACATGTCACGGCAGGTGGATGGCCAGGGATTGTGAACATGCTGCTGTCACCCACAAGAAATGGACAGGATCCTCCAGCAGCAAGAGGCAGCGGGTACCACGCACATGGGGGAGGAGGATGCCGAACTGGGGCCACATCTCCATTAACCTGTCAGAGAGCCGGCATTGGAAGGCCGACATGGAAAGCGGACGGCAGTGACAGACCACTGTGAGCCAGGAAGCAATGCCACCTGGGAGGGACAGTGCCATGGCCTTATGACCTTTCCCATTAAGCAAAAAGACCACTGACTTCTCTCATCCCTCCTCTTTGTCCCCAACACTGGAACCCAGAAGAGAGAGGAGAATAGGAGCTAAAATGATGTGTAAAGTGCCGATCATGCCACAGTCACTTGAGCCTGGAGTCTAATCTGGGTTGGGGAGGAGAATGCTTTGAATCAGAAATAAGACTGAGATTTTAAATGGGTTTAGAGTAAAATGTTAACAGTTAAAAGCTAGCGGGAAGTTGTGCTCTGGCCAAGGCATTATTCACAGAGAGAGAGATTTGATGGAGCCAGGCTGATACCACTAATTAAAAAATCAAAACACTTTTATATTTACATGACATTAGATTCCACAAGAAATTGTTACATCAATATTAATCAACTGCCACAACCTGACACGTTCTTTGACCCTATCAAGATGAGGTTGTAGGCCTCTGGATTTATCTTTGTGATAGGTAATATTTTTTCCCCAAGAAACACTTGTAATTTTTAAATCCCTAGACAACTGAAACTCAGAGGTCACTGAGGCAAATCATTTTCCTTTTGGTTTAGTATGGCTTACCTGGGAAAGGTCAATCTTCCATGAAGCCTTTGCCACCCACCTGAGAGGAGTCACAGAGACCACCTGGGCCCCGAGCTCCTGGAGCCCTCCCGGCGTCTCAGCACCAGCTCACCCTGTGCCACTCCCTCCACTCTGGCCTCCTCAGTATTCCTTCCAGGGGTTTCTGTACTCAGTCCCCTCCTCACCAACTAAGGGCCCTTGCTTACCCCCTTTCCTACTCTTTGTATCTTTAAAAAAAAATCTCACACCCAGAGGAAGGACCTGCTTCCAAGATTATCCAAGTTTCCACATCCATGGTGTCTCGTGCCAAGAGTTATCATTTGTGTTAAGTGTCATGATGAACGATTGCTCTGGAAGGACAGACCACCTCTCCTCACGTCTTAAAAAGAAAAATAACTCAAATCTCAAACAGAATTAGTGGTATCAGCTGGCTTACTTTGGCTTTCAGTCCTTTATTAGCTCATAAAAAAGTTTATTTCAAGACTATCAAATATTGGAGTGTTCTGTTAAATGGAAATATGAAGTTTTCAGTTTTTATTCCATTATTTTTCTTAAACAAAAAAGCAATACCTTCTCCTTTCATCTATCTGCAGACCCCAGAAATAACTTGAATTTCTCTGTTTTCTATACACTGGTTTTTCATTGTTCCTTTTACAACATGGTGCTTTTAACTGCAAGATGCACACTTTGCCAACGATCGGGAAACTTCCAGACACTTGGAATATTTTCTATCAATTTAGCTCTCCAAAGATTAGCTGCGTGTGAGTAGTCACTCTAGAGAGCTTTCTGCTGTTACCTCTGATTTTTGTTCTTATTAATCTCTTGCCTTTTACATGCACAGCTTTTGTAGATCTTCTCCCGTCCATTCCCTGGTCTTCTCTACCTTCCTATGCAACTGGTTCTCACTGCCCAGTTTTCTCTTTCTGATACAGTCTACCTTGTACACAGTAGGAGCTCAATAAGTACCTGACAAATACAAGGGCAGAGTGGGGTTGTGATAAAAGAAACAACACCTGATATGGCAAAAAAAAAGGGTGCTGCTTTCTCAGAGTGGTTTCAGACACATATTTTGAACTGTGAGAATTCGGAACGATAAAAGCATTTTAATTATGACCTTCAGCTATATGTTGTCAATTGTCCTTTCCTACATCTCAGGCAGATGTGGTGACAAACCCATAGATGTTGGGTCATGTTCAATGATAGGAATGGTGTGATTACTCTGATCCTGGTAATTATGATTTATGTTCATAAATTAGATTCTAAGCCAAATCCAAACTTGGTTTCCAATTCAAAGCCTTTCCTCTCCTCAGCCTGTTACTTGTCTTACTCCTTTTCTTTGGCAAATCCTCTCCCTTTGCTTTGTCGCTCGGGGCCCTAACACTGGTCTAGGTAAAAAGGTCTAGCAGGGTTTTCTAGCCACATGTTTAATATCCAGTTAATATCCACATCCAGGTTCTGAGGACCCTCGCTGGGCTCTCCCGCCAGTGCTGTTAGGATGGCAGCACCGGGTCTGCTCAGCTCCGCATTCAGGTGGCGTGGGGCAGGGGGAAGAACCTCCACCCCTCTGCTATGGCTCTGCTCCCCAACCTGTTTACTCCATTGCATACACAGAACATGGTAATATGTGTAAGGCATGTAGGCTGCTGGGTGGGGTGGTTGGAAAACCCAAGGGCTCAGAAGATCAATAGCTAAGGCCCCCCTGTAATCAATTCTGAGCCTTATTGAATGCATCAGAGAAAACTCGGTCTTAGTATGGAGACAGTGGGGGAACACCACAGTAGGAAGTCTACTTTCTACTCTGAAAATTCCTCTAAGCCATTCTTGGAAAGTGCATCCTGTTTCTCATACTCCTGGGAAGGAGAAGTGTTCTTGGTGGGCAAGAACAGCCCACTGTGGGACAGACTGAGAGATGTCAGGCTGGTAGTGGTCTCCTGGGCTCCTGAGAACGCCGGGTTACTGAATGCCTACTGTCCTCAGATTTGGGGTTTTAAAGTAATGTTGAGAGAGCAGGAATCATCCCTCTCAATGTCCTGTGACACTCAAGGAGAAACTCGCAGAGCTATCTATGCCAGTATTTGGGTGGATTTTGCAAAAACAAATATATCAATTTAATTCCTCATTATCCACTGTTAATAGAAAAAAGCTAATTTAATCCAGCTATTCTCCCAGTGAACAAAATTTCCATTTCTTGTTTCACTACATCATACATTCATTTCTCTCTGCAAGGCCAGGGGGCCTGCGTACCTGGATGCACCCAAGGTTGCCGTGCCGGGAGGCTACGTGAACGGCGCTGTTGCCATCCTGGTCCACTTCATCCAGTGAGATGGCCTGTTCTTGCATAAACTGAAGAAGCCATAGGAGAATCTTTTCCTATAAACACAAATATTGTTGGAATTAATGGACTATCTTGTAGAGAAGTCTAATACAAAGGCAGAGGAAAACAGAACTCAAACTTGCCAAGCTTAGATATATCCCATTTGGTTTGAACTGAAAATCCATGCATCTCTCACTAAAGTTAATGAAAGAGGAATGCTCAGAGAATTTTTAAGTCAGGGAGTTATGTCAGAAATGCTCTTGTTTTACTACTTATTCTATGCCAGCAGTGCTCTTGTTTTACTTGTTCTGTAGATAGGAAAATTGATTTTCAGAAAGTCTGAGTACCTCCTTAAAGTCACACAGCTAGGCGGATTCAAAGTGAGACCCAGAGGTCAAGTCTTCTGATTGTAAGGCAATGTTTTTGTTCCTGTGCTGTCCTGTCTGTAGGCTTCTAGAATATTATTATAAAACCTCAGACTACTGAGATAAATAGCTTCTGTTTTTAAGTTTGTGAGGCTTTAACCATGTCTTCTTAATCCCATACCTCCTGCAATCATCAGGCTTACAGAAAGAGGCAATGCTGTAAGTTGCTGAGAGGAAGATAACCTCACTGAAATAAACCAGGACCCTCTGGGTTTTTCTGACCCAATGCTGGTGGTGTTAGAAAGGTAAAGGTTTCTCTTCTTCCATGTTAAAGGGAGGGCACCCAAAGGTCTGAACACAATCTTTCAAAAGCAAAGACACAGAGCAGTCAGCCTGTGTTGGTCATAATCTGTTTGCATTTTACCCACTGAGTCTTTTGTGGTAATTTCATGTTATGTTTGGCCTCAGGAGAAAGCACGGGGATGGGATTTCACTATTTTAAAATAGGAAAATATAATGTTAAAAAAATATATGAGAGTGGTAAAAACAACAGCATGAAATGCAGTGGGTGGAATCTGACATTTAAAAAGATGATCATAAGTTTGAAAAAGCCTTAGCCTTTTTGTAAAGTATTTTTTTTTTTCCAGTTATTTGCTTGGACTGGTCATGAACCTTCATAGTTTTCTGGATTAAACTTGCCTTCACCTTCTGAACAGGCCGGCTAATCTGCCAAAGGAATGTTGGATGAAAACAGCCAACTCCTTTCACGGTTCACCCCTCACGTGGGGACCGGGGCACTGTTTGTGAAGGCTTCAGTGACATCAGGGTCAAACTGAACATCTGTACCATACTTTTTCCACATGAGCAAGCAGGGAGCAAGACCCCTAAGAGCAAGAAGAGAAAAATGTAATCCATACCTATAACCTACCAAGATGGCACCCAGGGAAAGAGAGGTGAGTGCTGGCTGCACTAGCAGAAAGACCTTGGAGGAAAGGGACCCCTCAGTGTCCCTAGAGGGTGAGGGGGAGCAGAGCACAGTGGCTGGGACTGGGAGTCAGAACCTCGACCAGGACAAGCTGATGTGCTTCATCCTCTTCTTCAGAGGCAAACTTGGAGAGAGCTGGGGCTGACATTGTGACCAGGGCAGATGATGTTTTTTACATGCATATGGTAGAACAGCTTCTTTTATTTTTCTTAATTAGGTAGGGGAAGAAACTGAAATTACTTTAATGGAGACAGATGATTACACCAAATGATCTTAACTCCTCAAAAGATCTGGATGTGCGGACATATGCCAGGAGAAAGGATGTAACCAACTGATTTCAAGTCACAGCTAAGACAGAGAAACATCAAGAGGGCAGGCCTCTGGGGCTCTACCGTGAAAGGGGCAGCCTGCCATCTGCTGTGGGTCATTCTCAAGCTTGCGGTGACGTGGCTTGCTCCATGATATTAAATCATGGAATCCTAAAATTGCAGAGGGGGAGGGATTGGGGTAAATTACCCAATTCACATGCTCTTACTTTACAAATCAGTAAACTGAAGAAGACACCCGTATACTCTGACATTCTGGCGGCTTCTTTCTTTAGCAAGTAAAGTTCAGACGAATTTAAAATACTTAGAAATGTTTTATATGCCCCATCTTGTCAGGCATATTTTCATATTTTTCAGGCTCAGTTAGATATTATAGTGGGAATGTCTATTGCACATGCCCAGAAAATGCCCATGATTCACAGTATTTGGACTTTTAGTAATAGGGCTGTAGGAAATAGGATGCTGCATTTCATAAGACTAGGACTTTCCCTCTCGTTGAGATCTGGGGAGGAATCTAGAGACCTGGATGAGGCAGAGACTTCACAGTCTGGGCCGACAGGGCAAGATGTGTGTGCAGGGCAAGAGTCGCCTTGGCTCCTGGCCTTCCAAGTCACATTGTTACAATAACCTTCCTTTCCTACGATGGCACGTGTGGCTTTTCCTTATACTCAAAGACCTTACCCAATTCAATATGCAAGGCTTACATAAAGGAAGAAGAATTATTTTGTTGTTCAGAACAAGGCAGTTCTTTGCCCAGCACTTCAAATTTAGTTTTGCATTCTGCAGTGAACTATTAACTTTAATAAGAACCTATACAGCCAGCCTGTTCACTGAGAAAGTATATTGAAACAAAAATCTCCCTATGATACTACACAGCGATGCATGCCCCAAAGGGACTGGTGACTGTGCCCTTGGTCTAACAACAAATGTTTAGGATTTCTGAGATGGACATGGAGATGGCTGCGGTTGGTGCCAGCACTTTCAGCATCCACTCTCAGAGAAATGCCACTTTCTGCTCTGATTTTGGAGAACATGGAGCACAGATCTATGGTCCTATCATTTAAACAGTGACTTATTTGACACATACATAGTGTGAAGAACAGAATACATATGTGTATTGGATATATATGCATTGGTGGCCACCTCTCCTGTTAGACATTTAGCGCTCTTTGTGTGTGTGTGTGTGTGTGTGTATGTGTGTGCACATGCACTTCTGTATATGTGTGTGACAGGGAGATGTTAAAGGAAGACTCTAACTTCAGATCTTCATTTTCCCATAAACAGATCAGGACATCTAATACAGTCACGTGGGTGGAGGGCCTCTTTGGTATTATTTTTGTTTCACAGATGCCTCTCCCCCTTACATTCATCTATCCACCCACACATCCAAACAGCCACTCAATTTTCATCTACTCATTAAAAACTTCCTCCATGTATACTACTTTCCTCTTTGGGGGACTTTCTGCTCTTTTGGTAACCGTTTTCATGCTTTTGTGTGTTCCTAAAGGAAATGTAATTGTTTAAATAGGCAACTAATGCATGTAATTTATGGGATTTTTCTGGACAAAGTCTAATAAAGGATCTAAGTGAAAGTATGCTACAGGTTTATTACTGGTATCAATAAGACTGCTGCAGTTTTTGTTCCCACCATAAGTTCTAAAGGAGGCAGCTTTGTCTGCAATCATAGATCATCTAATCTAATATGCCATCAATTTTAAGATTCATCCCATATTCTCAGATGTTAAAATGTAAAAAAAAAAAAATGGTCAGCAATGATTTTCTGATGTCATTTACTGAGATAAATGTAGGATCCAGAGATAGTAAAATGTGAAAAAAAAAAGGTACATCTAAAAATTGATTAAATAGGTTAAGGCCTGAATAAATCTTTGCCAAGCTTCTCTCATACTTTACTTATGGTGAAATAAATAAACTAAATAATATTGCTAGCCATAACAATAACAAATTGGAAGATATCCAATAATCACAAGAGGCACCATTTATCTAGCGTCTGCTGTGTGCTGACAGTGGGCAGTGTTTTCTGCTGCCACAATGTGGCTTTTCTCACTTAGTCCTCAGGGCAACCCTGTGAAGTTTCCATTGTCTCCATTTTAAAGATGAGGAAACTGAGATCCAGGGAGACCTTTTCTTGTGTTTATTTTTATTTCTTAAATAAAGGTATGTGGGACCACTGAGCTCATGTGTGGTAGGCTAGGATTTAAGCCCAGGCTCAGAAGCCCATGCTCTCCTTGACTCTGTATCTGCAACTGTTCAGCATCCCATGACTCCTGACTCCATGTGAAGGACACTCTCCCTGATGCCCCTTGGGTCACAGAAATCATGATTACCTGCCTGCCAATCCATGGGTTTGTCGAGTTCTGTGTCAGTTATGTGCTTTTACAGACCTCTGTCTTGGAGAACAGGTGGAAGCTCATGCTAATCAAAGATTTTTGTATCTTGCTTTTATCTGCAATCACAGCACTTTCAGTATTGTTTACTTATTTCTACCCCATGATGATAAAACAACAGAGCCAATATTTCCCTTTTTAAAAGGGAGAAACAGTAACACACAGCCTGGGGAAGCATCCCGCCTCACCAGCATGCCTCTCATTGACCATGGCCATTTGCAGGAATTGCTGCTGAGCATTTTTTTTTTTTAACCGAAAAGGGCTCCTCACCTTTTTGATCTGTATCAGGGCTAACATCTAAAATGGAGAAGGAACACAGTGTAGGGAAAGTTGCCTGTGGTCAATGCTCAGTGCTATGATGCAGGTTGTTTTTGTAGCAGGATCTCTAGACTGGAAGTCACATGAAGGATTCAGAAACAAGATGATCACAGGTTTGATGTGGAAAGTAACAGACAGCCCACTGAACCTATGACCAATGCAGGATAGGCTGAAGCCCCCAAGCTGAGCCAAGGATGAGCACTTTGCTGGGAGTTTGGATGAGGCCATCTGACCCTTCATATTTGAATGAAACAGCCCAGGTCATGTTAGGTGGCTTTGACTTGAGACAATTCCATCCCAGTTGCTCACCAGCAGCACATCTGTTGAGTGACAGCCAAGCAGGCCTACCCAAGGACCGCACCCACCCCCCGCCCTCCACCCCGAGTCTCCCCACGGCTTTCACCTTCTTGCTTCCTATAACTGGTTCTGCTTAGGGGCAGCCAAGCTGTGAAATAATTGTGCCCTCTGAGACCTCCTCTGTCAAGATGAGGAAAGTCAATTGCTCTTATCCAACGATCTATCACTCCGGGAGACCACTAAACACTGCAGGCTACACTGTGGTACTGGAGTTGTTCAAGGTAACTTTTCCAGGAAAAAGGACAGACTGGGAGGCAAAGGGAGTCCGTTCTTTTAGAATCTATATGTGGGGCAGAGGGCAACTAAAATAAACCGAGAGGAATTTTCCTCTGTACTCTCCTTCCAGAGGTATTTACTGAGGAAACAAAACCAGAACACACTTAAGAGGCAGCTCAATGCAGAAAACCTTGCATGTGCTGAATCCATTAGAACACTGTTCAGTAACAGTCTTCCTTGTGAAAATATTAGCCTTGTAACGGTTCCAAGTTCAGCCTCCCCACAGGTTATCTGTTACATAAGTGGCTGTGGCGGATGGAGGATGGCTGGGCAGGATTTGCCATTTGAACAGGCTTCTAAGCTTTCGGCTAAGGGCGCTGCAGGACAGCCCTGCTCAAAGCTGTCCTTCAGGCCATGAAAAATGCTTATAAGCTTGAAATAACAACATGAAGTCAATGTTTGGTAAGGCTCTTCAAGTAGGTCCCTAATTTCCATGTTTTCCTCTAGGCCATGCAAGTAAGCCACGCTCTCTACCCAGCCAGTCTCATAATAGGCACTTTCTTGTTTTGTCCTGATAGCTCCCAGATTATGAGAAACCCGCTGTGTGATTTGAATAAAGAAACTGGCATGTATAAGCAACACTTTCCAAGATAAAGAATGCCGGATGCCCAGGTATTTACTTAGAGTCCCTGAACGGTGACACAATCCTTTCCTCCTTTTTTTGGACAAGCGCTACCCAAATTTGCAGGTAGCCCTTCCAGTGCTACTAAAATCCCTTGTCAGGCTTTATATAAGCAGATGAAGTCAGAGACATGAAACAATTATTGAGACAATTTGGGAATAAATTAAATTTTGTTTTATTCTGAAAATGATTTATGAAGATTAGCAGTGATTAAATTCTTCGGATCATTTGAAAACCCTACCCTCCTCTTTGCCAGTATAAGCAAAAAAAGGGGTGTCCTTACCAAATGCTTACTTACTATGATGGCTGCTTGTAGGATGCATGACTGGGACTTTTAAGTACTACACAGACAAAATGGAGTAATTTTGGCTTTTGCAAATTTTAAATGTTCTTCTTGCTCCTTTCTGCATCTCTTAGATTTAGCATAGGCACTCACTTCAATGCTCTGTGAGGTACTCCACATATCAAAATGTGTTATTAGAAAAAAAATGTCTTCTTCAGCTATATCAAGGCCACTGTAAACAAGCTATACGAATTATCTGCACAGATGGAGAAAAGACAGAATCTGGCTCTGAAGCCCAAGGATCTGAGCTGAGGTCCAGTGTTTGCTTATTAGCCATTAGACCATGTGCAAGTCACTTAACTTTCTTCAGTCTCCTCATCTACAGAATGGGGATAAAAGCAACGGGACCTAATAGGGTTGTTTTAAGAAACATGTCAGATAATGTACATAAAATCCAATGGCACAGTACCTGGTACATATAGGAAACACTACATACTCCTGTAAATATTAAGTGAAGTTACCATAGCAAAAAATGAACTATCACCTAACATGATTCCCACTAAAGAAAGACTGTGGAAATATTTCTCCAAGTCTATTTTTTGAACTTGAGATTGTCATGCTTGAGAAAGCATAATCTCTTGTTGACAATAACACAATTTACTGCCACTGGGAATGTTGATGATGCCAAAGGGGACAGGGTTATATGCATGAGAAGCAATTTTCTTTGCCACAAACAAATATGATTAAATCTCTTTCGATGCAGTACTGACTTTATTTTAAGACTGAGATAGACATTTAGTGGTTTCAATTTTTTTAAAAAGACAATTTATACTCATCCC